CCCCCCCTTTCTCTGTGTTAAAACTTTTTTGACCCACCCTATTTATAAGGGTAAAACTTCGTTTGCCCCCCCCCCTCCCATTTCCCAACCCCCCCTCCCCATAAATAATGACCACTCCCTTAACACAGCTGAGAGATCCATTAGTGGGAAGGTTACATGACGTTTACAAATAATTAACGTCAATCTGCTGACCACTAATCATTAAGTTGAAAAAAACTGGGGTTTTTCTTACTTGAAGGAACTTGTAACTATAGTTACAAAAATATTGAAGTAATTTTGTAACGGCAACTAGTTACACTTTTTTAATTGTAACTTTTACCAGTAACTGGTTCCTTTTTTGGGAATATAACAGTAACTGTAACTACACGGCAAAAAACGCCGAGCCCGCTGCCCAACAGGACTGAACAATGTTTTGCTGCCTACGTTGTTCACACTTGTCAAAAATATTGAACAATGTTGTTGAGCCTGAATCGGGTGTAACAATATTGTTCAATATTGTTGACAGCTATGAACAATGTGGGCAGCAAAACATTGTTCAATCCTGTTTTCATCAGTATTGCATAAACCTGAGCGTTTTTACGCGTGTAGTTCCAAAAAATGAGTAACTCTTACAGCACTGAATGTAAGTTACGGAACATGCCAGGGTGTGAAATAAGCCGAACACGGAATAATTATGCAGAAAATACCTCCACCATGTACAAGAGGGCAGAAAAAATAGAAAACGCAGTAGTTATTTTATAAAACAATTACCAAATGGTTTTCCAAGTAGGATAGCGTGATCCATGCACTTGGGATGTTGCCACATTTGGGCCGAAAGTGGCGCATTTTCCCGCGCGTAATACAAATTAATACAAAATTTGCAAGTTTCGCAAGGCTATATTTTCCGCATTTTACAACATTTTGCCACCAAATTTTGCAAGTTTACAAATTTTAAGATGCTCTTTCTAGCTGTGGTGATGGATTTCGTTTTTCCTGCCTAGATCAAAATTAAGTAATTTTAGCTGGAATTATCAACTAGGCATTACACTTACATGTAAAGCCAATTGTAACCTTACGTCCCTTGATTGTTCCAGCTTTGGCATTCATTACAATCTGGTAAGTACCAGCATATTCTTTGCCCTGAGTTGTGGGCAACAATATCTTGCTGTCATATTGACTAAATGGAGGCGTGGTTTCTTTTGTTATCTTAACCCCATCTCGCAGCCAATGAAATGTCGCTCCAGCAGCAGTATTTGTTTGTACTTTCAAATAGGAGAACCTATCTGGGAAGCCATAATAGTCTTCGGCATCCATGATAATCTTAGGAACAACCTCTTCTTGCCCTGAACGAGAACAGTAAAATATGTAATATTTTGTACATTGAACAAGCGGCAGTAAACTTAATATCCTGTTCTAATAATAAATATCAATGCCCAGCATAATGCCCGTATGTAATAATAGCCATATAACAAAGAGAAATTTTCATAAATTTGATATTTACAGAACTAACGTTTCGTCTTGCACTTAAGACATCTTCAGAGTAAAGAATGATATAAAATTACAAAGTTATATATGCATAAATTACAACTAATACTAATACTAATAGACCTTTCCCCTTTTGAGTGAAATTTTGATCAAGACAAGTCTGGACAAAACTTTCATCACAGCATGAAAGGGAATCACAAAATTAGTAATATTCCGAAGTTTCGTTGCGAAATGTTGTAAAATGCGGATTATATAGCCTTGCGAAGTTTGCCGTTTTTCAGTCATTTGGTATTACTGTACAAACGGGAAATTGATAATCAGATGATCAAACTGATGCAAAATGTTAGATTGTAATGCAAAATGACTGAAAAACGGCAAACTTCGCAAGGCTATATTATCCGCATTTTACAACATTTCGCAACGAAACTTCGGAATATTACTAATTTTGTGATGCTCTTTCAAGCTGTGATGAAATTGTTGTCCAGGCATTATTAAATATTATTATTATTATTATTATCTAGATCAAAATTTCACTCATAAGGGGAAAGGTCTATTACAGAGTATAGAATTACAAGTATAATAGAATTACAAGTATATAAGAAAGGGAGCAGAAGTACATAGAGTAAGGAAAAGGGATTGGAGTAGAAGAAGAAAGGAGACTGAACTGCCTTGTACGTTCAGGGTAGGTTTAAGTTTGGAAATGAGAACGCTTTCGTGGATCATAAGCTCGCCAGAAGGGCAAGACGAAAGAATTTTAAAGTCATCAAGGGAACCCGTACATGTATGACCAGTGTTGTTAAGTGCCGACCGGTCATTGGCCATAATGTCCGGCCAAATTTTGAAATTTTAGCTTTTGCCCGATCAAAGCTGTTTATGGCCGGACATGTGACCGACCGATTAGGCTAGTCAAATCTCATGCAACCAGGGATATCTACCGGAAGTTGCTGAGGGCAAGGGGTGCAACTGGTTAACAAGAGGGCAAACTCCTTAACAAAAGGGCACCAATGAAAATGAAAGGGCGGCATGATCCATTACATTCGTGTCGACCTCCCTCCCCGTCACCAAATTTTTTCGGACCGAATACAATTATTTAGGCACAATTCCTCCGTAATTTCTCACCAAAAATTCCACTATAAGTAACGGCTTTGCCAGTTCACCTTTTGCCAAATGGATAACAACTTTGCCGACTTCCTGACAACTGGGGGGTAGAACACCCCCACACACACACTCGAGCGTCGTTTAATTATGTCTGTTGTAAACGTTTTGTGCACCCGTTGCACCCATACAGTAGTCTGCACCCGCACTGCACCCACAAAGTTGAAAATGCAAAAGGCAAGGGGTGCACTTGCACCTGCTGCACCCGTGGTTCCTGCATCCCTGCATGCAACCTCAAAAATTGTTTATTTTACACATTTTTTATTAATGAAACCAACAAGAAAGCAATATAGACAGTACATGTACTTCTCCACTATTTCGTGCGGCATTAAGGCTACGCATTAAGATTTAATTATAAATCAATATCATCTTCATGTACATGGACATGGAAGCAGGGCTCGAATTTTATCGCGGCAATTGCCGTAGAGGGAGAACAAAATGCCGTGGATCATTGCGGCAACGGCGGCAATTTTTTGCCGTATAGTGCAATTTTTATACTATTCACTGTGCATTACTACTTTGATATTTGAATTCAGATGTTGATCAAATCATGCGTAAAATCATTATTTTAGTCTCAGTTTTCTTCGAAAAAAAAAACAATAAAGAAATACGTAGACATGTTTCTAGCTTGTCAAAAATCCAAAGTAACAATTAAATTAAAGTTTTATTACAGTAATTTGAAAAATGCCGTGGAAACTGCCAAACTTGTCGTAGACAGCTGTTATGTTCTACGGCAATTTTTAACACCATTGCTGTTGATTGATTTCAGAGAAATTTGAGGCCTGCATGGTAGAAATTAAAGTTATATATAACCTAAACCATAATTTCCTGATGAATAATTAGGACTAGTATACTAAGTTTTAAATACATTTAATTGCAGTACGGACAAAGATGACCATGAGGCAGAAAAATACATTGTGCTACTTTTCAAAATATGAAAAAATTTTACTTTGTCCATTAATTGTCTGAAAAAAATTGCTAAATGTCCGACCAATTTTTGGCTATTGGCCAGACATTTGTCCTTCCAAGTAAAATAACTATTTGCAAGCCTACAGTACTCTGGGGTTCTTGTGTAGCAACAATAGACCGACGAGGGTAGGCCCCGATTGGACCACTACTTTGAGATGGCCGAATAGCCTGAATCTGCATGTTCGCCATAATTCGGTTATGTTTTACATTATCATTAATTTATAAAGTTTATATTCATTTGGCTTTTTATCACGCCTGTGTGATGTCAGTACTGTAGCACCGTACAGTGAATTTGCTTGTTCAAGTACAGTATATTTGAGAACAAGGGGGGGTTGACTACAAACTTTTTGTAGTTCGCTATAACTACAGCTACTTCAAAAATATGTAGTCAGCTACAACTACAGCTAATTTTGAACAAAAGTAGTTCGCTACTGACTACAGATACTGCTTAAAAAATGTAGCGAACTATTTCGCTATTTTGCTACTCAATATTTTTTAACTTTACTGTATTTGGAACATCTATTATAGCTCAGGCTGTAATGTATAACCTATAACAAATCGACTTACGCGAGTAGGCTAAATAAGACGGCATGCACTTGCACAGTTTGAACAGTTGCACGGCATACTTTATTCGTAAAGCAAACTGTGTCTTAATAACATTCTATTCTATCAAGTTGCTAACAATTTTAAAAAGTAGCGAATAGCGATTTGCTGTTTGAAAAGTAGTCAACTACTTGGCTACTTTTAGGCAAAATGTAGTTCGCTATAACTACAGCTACTGTTTTGAAAAAGTAGTCAAAAACTACAGGCTACTTGAAAATTGTAGTTCGCTACAGTAGCCAACTACAACTACTTCGCTACTACCCACCCTTGTTTGAGAATATATGTGCTACAGATATAACACCCTCGACAAGTGTACATATTTAACCATGATATTTAACTAAAGCATTCTGAGTATTAAAAAGTTCCACTAACCGAGAAAATGTTTGGTTAATTAATTAAGCAGATTTTTTAGGGTGGTCCTACATGGACTTCCGTAAGGGGTGCTAGACAAGACCCCTAGCTTTTCACTAGCGTTAATTTTACCAATACAAATTGCCCTGTGTTACCCCGGTCATATACTTACCACATGCAAAGGAGAAGGCAAGTACAATCAACCAAATCATGGTTTATTTTGCACAAAAATGGATAACTTGTAATTTCTTTCCAATCCTAAAAAAAAAAAATTATTTAAGAGCGTATTTCAAAATTTAGAAGTAAAGTAAATTGAAACGTTTGGCTATCTGAAGTTAATAAATAGTACAAGTCATCATATGATGCAAGTCTGGTCTAAAATTTAAATTTTTCCCCAGTTTTACGGCATTAGTATAATATACCCTGTCCCATTCAAATAGGTTTCCATAACTCTCGCTGTTACGAATTATAACTATATGAAGTAACACAGGAGATTCAACAGTCAACTAATTTAGACAATTCATTAACCATTATTAAAAGCACCAGCGATCTCCCCTTGACGAGTAAAATCGTTTGGCGTTAGATATATATTAATATTTAATATTTTATATTAATATTAATATATATATATTTTTTTTTCCAAATATGTTTACAATACATTTCGTAAGTTATATATATATTTATGTACTAGTTTACATTATACATATTTGGACAGATCAAGGACCATAATAAACCAAAAGGCTTTTGCAAATATAGTCCCCCGTGACAAAATATTTAATACTAAAATTAATAAGTTCTCTATCAGGTAATTTTTCGTCAGTTTATCAAGATCTAGAGTACACACTAGCTATTACTATATAGAATTATTAATTAATTACATAAATATATATTGTACTCTATACTGGAAAGAATAATTTCCGTAATCTACTCTATATGTTATCATATAATATGTTACCGTTATATATATGGAGTAAAATAATCTGGCGTTAGACTGAGTAAAATAATAAAGTACAGCCAGTGGCGTAACGAAACCTCTTTAGGCCCCCCGTAAAATTTTTAAGTTTTAAGCCCTGCATGTTTACACTACGCTCAATTTTTGGTACGGCATGGATAAAATTGGTACCCGTACCACTTTTTTGGTTCTTGGACTTAACCTACAGTAAATAGGTAGTCCAAGAACCAAAAAAGTGGTACGGTACCAAAAATCGAGCGTAGTGTAAACAGGGCTCAAAATATATGTAGTCCAAGAACCAAAAAAGTGGTACGGGTACCAATTTTATCCGCACCGTACCAAGAATTGAGCATAGTGTAAACGGGGCTTTAATTAGGTAAATTTTTTTTAATTTTTATTTCTTCCCGGAAAAAGTTGGCGAGCAGGCAGGGGGGGGGGGGCGACAAAAAATGTTTCGAACCATATTCCTTAAAAAAAGGTTAATTAAAAAAATTTCCAGACTAATTGACATGTAAAAAAGAATCCGCAAAAATTTTTCACATCCGTGTAATTTACTAAAAAAAGGAGTCTAATTAAATTTTACAATTTTACCAATTCCTGCTTTTGGGGGCGGCCCGTTGCAATTTTTCTGGCCCGATCTATAACTGTCAAGCTGAGGACCAATTTGCCCAATGTACTAGCAAAAATTTTATGATCATTCTTGTTGGGGGCCCCCCGCCAATGAGCACCCAAACACCCCTCGGTTACGCCACTGAGTAAAGCGCACCAGAGTGCAATGTGACTCAATGGGGACTTAATGTGTCATAAAAATGCACATAACATATGAGGAAAGGCTTGGGTGGCAAACTCATAGTTCATTAACTTCAAAAGCTATGAGGAGACTGTCAGAGTTTCGGGGGAGATTCCCGGAATGCCAGCTCAGATAATCGAGCCTACTGTCAGAGGTGCTTAGAATAATTTAATTAACATTTTCCTGATGTTTGAAATTTTCTTAGTATCCAGTTGAGAATATTTATAAAATCATTCACAGTTTGGCATCCAAAACCAAATTTTAGTATCCAGTGGATATAATTGGGATATACTGCAAATTTCAGATCCTGTGGCATACTTAACCCAATTTGAACATACGAACTCTCCTGTTGACAAGTAAATTAAATGGCCTGGCTAATAACAGAGTAATTAAAATAATAAGTAGGGTACAAATATGGGGTACAATGCAACTCGATCAATGAGTTCAAACTTAATGTCACCAGACTGAATCTGCCAATTAACAAACTTCTTTTACAGAACATATAATAAAGAGTTCTTAATGGTATCAGGAAGGGAGTTTCCTGTCAGAAAGTTGCTTTTCATTGTTGCTGTCAAGCCAATATTGCATAATTTCTAATTATACTGTAGTCAAAACAATGTTAAAAACAATAACTTTGTATAAAAATTAATATCTTCCAGTGTTATATATCCTATATAGATTTTTCCTGTAGCATCCTTATGTTCCTGTAAGTTGTGACAGTTTTCTTGAAACCGGTTATTTAAGTCGCAATGTGCCCATTCTGGGAATTTTGTTGTACATGCAAGTTGGCCAACACGTCTGGTAACTTCCCGGCGAAGGGCCTAATACTTATAATTTCAAATTTCTCCTTGTATTTTTTTTGGTAGTTTCATGACTCTACCAACTGAAGTTTTGTTATTATTCAGGCAAATATTATTGTCCGTATTCAACAGTGAAACAGCTTAAAAGAATTTACAGATGCATATTTAATAGAACACATTTTGCATCTAATGGGGTTAACCTATTGCCATTGGCACACATTTAAGAACACACTTGACCAATGACCAATAAGGCAATGCCCTTAACACACTTTAATTCATATGTATTTTTTATATTACTGTCTCTCATTATTCTGCAGTAGATAATGGAATCACAATCTATCAGAATATCAAGATGTGCTGTCTGAGAAGGGAAAACATGTTCCACGTTGAAATTACTAGAGTCATATACTGTATCTCTGCGAGTCTGACTAGCTCAGTAATAAGGGGGGGGGGGGTAATGGGTTAATATTGTGTTGAGCTCCTTGGGGTAATTTAATTATTCCATTATTTGTGTCTGGATTTAGCTATGTTTTGTTTGGGGAATGCAGGTTTCAAATTTCATGAATCACAAACATCGACACAAATATAAACAAATAGGTGAACACACACCCAATACAGACTGTTATTCGCCTTCAAGACCTCTATATATGCATGGTTGTTGTTTACGATTATGTACGGAACACATACTCCTCCCGACCTAGTTAGATTGGCAGAGAACTATAAGGCTTTAAAAAACAGTATAAATGACATTGAGCATATTCTGGATATTTTCAATGCATAATTACTGTAAATAGTTTTTTAGTTAGATTTATATAGATATATAGATACATAATAATTTTCATGGTATTACCTGTAAATTAGCCAAGTGTCATGTAGCTAAGTTTCACGTTAAATAAATTGTATTGTACTGTATTGTATTGTATTTCCCTTTACATTTCAGATTCCTAAAAAAATTTGTTATTTTAAGTGCTTTGATCAGGACTTTTATACATCTCTGGATAGTATTCAGGATCAGTACCAAAATTACACCCCTCAATAAAATATTTTAATTAATACTTAATTAAGAATATTAACATTATTAATTTTAAGCTTATTAAAATATGCTAAGAATACATGCCCCACATTAATAATTTGGTTTTCGTTGTCAGAGAATAATTTTTGTCAGAGAACAATAAATTGGTTTATAGTCGTCTCAAGCGTGATTTGAGCTTGCATCATCGGGTTTCTACATCACCGCTCTCACCACCATAATTTAAAATTGAGTCAACTGTGGGGATTGGTTAGGAGTCTTATCCAATTTAAATCAAACGAAAATTTTCGCAACAACTTAACGCTTGGCAGCACTCTCCAGCATGATGAGTAAAATTGTCTGGCATTAGACAAAGTATAATAAAGTGAAGCACAATTTTGCATGCATTTTCCCTTAACAGATGGGTTTCACTCAAGACTTATACAATAGGGAAACGCTTGGCCAGGTCAACTTTACACATATTGCCACTTTATGCCTTGTGGTAGCAAGTAAATTTCATTAAAATTACATATATTTGATACCAAACACTGAAGATCAATACTTAACATGATGAATATTTAACTCGATTCAAATGTGCTTCCATTTGGAGTTGACCACCTTAAGCACTAAACATGTCACATGACTGAAACCCAGCTATTGAGGTTAAATATTTTGATCACTAATTGGACTCAAAGCAAGTTTATGGATTACGTCATGAAGAAATACTGGCCCTGAATGAGATTAATTTATCAACAGAAACTCATTATACAAAAAGATTTCCTTCGTAGTAAACTTGAGTTGTTTTTACAATAAATTTTACTTGCTTCTTATTAAACTTGCCACCACTAATAACCCATTGACTGGCAATGCACCCTACTTTAGTATTTACAATACTCTATCTAACACCAGACAATTTTACTCGTCAGTCAGGTACTTGAGCTCTGCCAGTATTATGGGTTAAAGTCTTAAACTTGTCAACAAAGAATAAGGAAAGCATACAGTAGTAATACATTAAGTGAGCTCTATTAAACTACATTTAACATGTACAATCTTTTTTTTACTTCTTGGCTGTATTAATTGAACTTATAGATGCTGAATTAATGTCTTAGTAATATTATTCTAATCTAATGCCAGGTAATTTTGCTCGAAAAAGGAAACGCCTCCAGAGGATTTTACTCAGAAAAACAGAACGCCTCCATACAGGAAAGAATACGATAACAACGCTAACAAAAAAACTCTTAAAGTGTTAATGAATCCAATATCAAAGAGAGGAACTGAAACCTAGGCTAGCACATCCTCATTCACTCATTCTAGGAGAATTGAAAATCACAAGACCAAATTTCAATTCCTGTTAGAGGGCCTGTTAGAGGACCCTGTGATTTTGAGATCTTCACATACATGTATGTAATTTCTGTGTGCGTTGAAAACTTTCGTCCATAAAAAGCCCTTATAATAAATTACACACATACATGTCTTTCCGAAACACATGCATTTCCTTGTTGGAAAACATATAACCTATAAAGCAGTAGTATGAAGGCACATAAATTAAATTTTGAACAAAAATTAAACATTTGCTGCCCAAGCCTATATAGGAAGTCACTTTAAAAGCTCAACACATATTGCCCGAAATTAAAAGCATACCTTTTAAAAGAGCCTGGTTTTTGTGGTTTTCAGTTTGAAATAATGCTGTGAAATTTGCTTTTAAATGTCCACTTTATAAACTCTAAGAAGACTGTGGCACAACATATAACCCAAATAAAGGCAAAAATTGAAATTGCAACCTTCTAAATAATGCATTGATGTAAAGTAGACTCTGCATGCATTAATTTAAAGTTTAGTCAAAAATATTAAAATACTCATAAAATGTCATATGACTCACATATGTTTTTAAATAAAATTTAAATATCATGACATGACATTAGCAACTTGCCTAAATTTGACAAACTTTACCTAAAATGCAAACATTTTCAAAACGAAAAAGCCACATAAGTCTTAACTCTTTAATTATTGATAACCAAAACTTTTTCCTTGCCAATTTTATAGGCTATCTATCAAGAGCCACCATTCCAAATTTGAACAAAATACTGATTATTTGGGAAAACATTCTTGCCTTATCTATAGAAATGCACAAGAGTCGTTTAGATTTACATGATAGCCAAAAGATTGAAAGATTATTCTAATTTAACCACTAACAAGACGTATTTCACTTGGAAAATGGGCTTTACTTTACTTTATATACATAAATTTTATGAGTTTTGTCTAAACATTGAACCATATAGTTAAGATTGAACTATAGTTGCAATTGTCACTAAAATTTGCAATTTTGTGTTTTGGAATTTCCGATTTTGTAAATAATTATTAAAAGGCGAACAAATTAAAAACTAGGATTTGCCTGAAGCCAAATATGAATTGTTTTGTCTCCGTATTAAAGTTTCACAATGTGTCAGGAACGATTAACACTTGAAGCTTAAAAAAAATCAAGACAAAACAGGCGCTTTTCGAGACACAAAGTTCCAGGAAAAATTTACGAAGTAACAATATCGTTCCCTTTCGAAAGCGGCTAAAAATATTTTCCACGTTTATTTGTATGGAAATTATTAAGATATTTAAAAAGTCATGGGTGGCGGAAAACAGCTAAAAGCCACGAGAAGTTGAATCATTATCCGCCTACTTGCCAAACCCTTATCAGAACAAAAGTGTACTTATTTTACCGGAAACACTACAGACGTAAAGTTTGGCTTCTTCGTCAGCGAACGCTCGATTTTCTGTTATTTTTTTAATCCCCCAAATATAGTATTTTGCTGGTGAATTATATTGTGGTCAAGTTCCTAAGATGTTTATATTCGTTGATAAATTATTTAGTACCAAAATATTAATGATATATAAAATATTGGTCGGCACAGAACAGCGTGATGGCGAGCGACCTCAAGCTACGAACTGTTTAAAGTTACGAAGTTTAATTTGTATATATTTGAAAATAAGTTTACGGAGAAGCGTTAGGTATATAAAAACAAAATAAAAAGGCCCCCAAGAATACAGCCACTTAGGGGCACCACAGATACTAACTACGCTAAAGATTTTTGACGTTGGTTGTCAATTTGAAGTACTTCGAGTATTTTGAGAAAGAATCGTTACAAAATGTAAACATTGAACTTTGGCGTTCGTTTAGACCCTAAAGTGTTGAAAAGCTAAAATTTAAACACGATGCTCGCAAATTACACTATTTTTACACGCTCTTTAGCGTTACAATTAAAGGAAGATGGCTTTATAGGCTTACAAACAGCGGGACACAAGCATACATCAAGCTTTCTAGTTTATTAAAAGTTCACAGGAACGAAATTAGAATACTAATTTGACGTCGAAATGAAATTCTATATGTACTTGAGAAGTTTCCCCAGAGCAAACTATGTTCCTAGAACTCTTCCATTCACACATTTAGCAATCTGTACTCGTCAGTGTGATAATTTCGTGAATTATCGCAATCCAAGTTCATAAACAAGACGGGAATCCGCCATATAAATTGTCTGAATTCTACGTCTAGCAACAAAATTCTGTATTAAAATACTGCCTTTTTAATAATACTGTACTTGCAAGTTGATTTAAACAAAGCACTCGAATATATGACTACTTTGAAACTAAAAGGTAACGTGCCAACTTGGTCTCAGCCAAAATTAAATAGACTTATAGACGACGCCAATATCACTATCGTAAAATCTAATTCTGTCTTAGACAATAGCGCCTGACAACCGACTCAAAATTCATACCTAAAAATGGCGAATCGTTTTGAAATATGAAGCTAACTTTTGGGTGAACTTTAGTGAATTTAAATCAAGCTATAAGCTCCGATCTAAGACTACAAATTGCCCTCTCTTATTAGCCGGTTGAGCTTTGGGCTTTTAGCTTATGTCCAATATATTTATATCGGATAAGTTCACGATATCGCCACATTATATTACACAAATATGGTAGTGCATTTACCTTCGCGACGATCGAGGGTGACTGTCTTGTTCTCTAGTCTTTTTTGGTATCGATTACACACCAGTCTGCCAACAAAGGTGAAAAACAGCAGTAGTTCGTTAGTAAATCGCCGACTATTAAATTCTTCGTTCGACCCGACGCGATGAGTCGTTTGAATGTTTGTAATAGAAATAATTAAAATTTGGGGGATTAGCATGCATAATTATTATGCACGCCACGTGATTTTCGAATGTTTACATTTTTGACTGACAGGATATGACGCACGAAGTGGCACAAAGTAAAGAACGGAAGCTGGACGGCATGACTCCGGCAATAGTCCGGCATTTGTTTGCTCAGTTTACTACACACGTAAAAACGCACAAGCTGTAACAAACCTGCAGCAGACTTGTAGCAATGCTGTAACAACTTGTCATCAGGATGTGTTCGCACTGCTTGTTCCCAGCTTGTTGACAACTTGCTACAAGGTTGTTGAGCTCAACGTACTGACTTGTTACAAGTTGTTCCAACAACTTGTTATCGTCATGCAATGGACCTTTCACCTTTTGACTACAATTTAGATCTCAACAAGTTTGGACAAAAATTTCATCACAACTTGAAAGAGCATCAGTAATATTCCAAAGTTTCGTTGCGAAATGTTGTAAAATGCGGATAATATAGGTATGTATTTCCCGCGCGTATTAACACAATATGACCGAAAATTGCAAACTTCGCAAAGCTATATTATCCGCATTTTACAACATTTCGCAACGAAACTTTGGAATATTACTAATTTTGTGATGCTCTTTCAAGCTGTGGCAAAATTTTTGTTTAGACTTGTTGAGATCTAAATTGTAGTCAAAAGGTGAAAGGTCCATTCAGCAATTTGTCAACAAGTTGTGAGTGACGACCTTGTAGCAACTTGATTAAATAACAGCATTGTTACAACTTGTTGACAAGCTTGCCACATGCCTGTTGCGAACACATCTTGTTGACAAGTTGTCAGTGAGATTTTTACCTGTGTACTCGTCAATCTCGGTCACCAGAGCCATCGTTGACTCTGGGTACGAGATTACAGTAAAGGAATACTGAATGGTTTTCCGTGCAGGATTGAGTGATCCACGCACAAGGGATGTCGCGAGACCCGAGCTGCAGGCGAGTGTATTTTTACGCTTTCCGAACTGAAGTCGAGCAACATCCCAAGTGCATGGATCACGCTATCCTGCTTGGAAAACCATTTGGTAATTGTTTTATAAAATAACTACAGTGAAACAATGACATTTTGAGAATCCCGCGAAAATCCCGCGAGGGCATTTTACAGTAATTCCTCGTGCAGGATGCCAGGATAGCCTGATCAGGCTGACGGCATGACCAATCAAACTGCGTGTTCCACTGTAGTTATTATATAATGTTGTTTCTTACAATTTCAAATATGAGTTTTTCATGTGTGGGAAAACCTGGAACCATTGACCCAGAATCATTATTGAATTCCCTAGGACTAAGCCCTCTTTTCACAGTCTGAGGTGGACAGAAAAGACAAAACAGGAAAGATATATTTTGTCAAAAGCGAATAGCCGAGCTACAATCCTAATCAAAATCATCTGCACACCTTTTCAGTGAGGCGTGCTGGCTCGCCAAAACAAACTACTGGTCTCACCGCTATAAATAGCATAGCGATTGATTGATATACCTGGTTGCAGTGAACGAACAAACTTTAAAGCTTGATAGCATTATCAGACTTGTTACAAGGTTGTTCTAACAAGTCTGATACAGTTATGATATAACAAGAATTTTACCGAGGTTGATGACACAAGGTTGTAACAATATTGTTATATCATGACTGTATCGGATGTTTTGGAACAACCTTGCAACAAGTCTGATAATAGTCATAATATCAACAAGGTTGTTACGAGGTGATTATCGGTGAATAAAAACCGAGGCGAAGTCGAGGTTTTTATTCACGATAATCACCGAGCCTGAGGTGAATAATTGTTTTAGTATAATTTCATGGGTGATTATTTGGAAAAAAAATCAGAAAAAATGCACGTTTCTTCGTCTTTTAATTGACAAAACGGCTTCGGCCGCCATTTTGAAAATCGCTTAGGTGATTATCGCGTAATAATCACCTCAACGGTAACCAATCAGCGTGGAGAATTTTCAATAATCACCTATGTAATTATACTAAAAGTTGTTAACAGTTTGTTTCCGTGTGTACCCGAGCAAGTATAGGTTATTTTGAGGCAACGAGGGGATATGTGATTTATTCACCGAGGCGCGCAGCGCCGAGGTGAATAAACACATATCCCCGAGGTGCCTCAAAATAACGTACTTATTTTTCACATTGCGAGGTTGCGTTCATGAGACAGAATAGAAATAATTCTTAATGCCATATTGCCTTCGTTATGTTGGGTTTTTTTCTCTTTTTTGTGCTGCAAAGACATTGCAGGTGAATATTAGAGGGGATTATTAATTGCAGGTGAATATTACAGGGGATTATTAAACGGAAATTGATTAGAGTGGAATATTGAATATATTCCCCGATAAGAACAAAGGAAACCGAGCAGGGTGAAAAATAAGATATTGTATGCAATGCTGATTTTATGTGAGAAATTCAATATATTATTAACTATTATAGCTACATATACTAGTATCCCAAAGGTCGTGGGTTCGATTCCCACCGTGGTCAGGCAAACTTTTCAGCTTGCCCGGTGTGGATGCACACTCAGAGTAACACCACAGATAGATATTTCACAGCACACTCCCTAACAGGGCTTTTCAGTGACTGGTTACATTATGAATAGA